AGGGAGGGAGGGCGGGAGGGAGGGTGGGAGGGCAAGAGAGACAAAGAGAGAGACGGGGAAGGAAGGGCAGGACCCAGGAGCATCATGATGACACAGACAGAAGCAAAGCGAGACAAGGGCGGAGTGGGCAGAGAGAGAGGAAAGGTGATGCAGTTGTTTCATGTGCAGTCATGTGACATGTGGTGCAGTCATGTGACATGTGCAGTCTCCCTCTCTGCTTGGCCTCCTTCTCCCTCTCAGTCTGTTTGAGTCTGTCTGCCTGCTTACCAGAAACACACTGACAGTTTAGGGATACCACGCGACGCCAGCACACACAAGAAGGGTGGGCTGGAGAGGAGTGGGGGGGATATGCTCTGGTAGCTGTAAACGTGGCTCCAGATGAAATTCCAAAGTGTCCTGTCCACCTGTCCACACAACAATATGCAAGCGTGTGTGTCATGTTGTCTTGCACAAACGACATCGACGACCTTCCGAAAGACGTTGTGTGCGTGCGCATGCCCCCCTAACCCCGCCCGTCTCTCTCCGTCACTCTCTCTCTCTCTCTCTCTCTCTCTTTCTGGCTGCTTGTGCAAGCATGTGCTGCTGTCTGTTGTTGAAGCAATCTTTACTGCTCCGCAGACACCGCAGTCCTATAACTTTGCCTTCCCCGCAGACGCTCGGCGCAGGCGCAGGCGCCAAGGAAACCAGTAAGAGCGGAAATGCAGAAATTGGCGGTTTTACCGGTTTTTCAGGTTTTTTTTTGGGCATTTTTTCATGGTTTTGGTGCTTTGGGGCCGCGGTTGTGGTCCGGAGGAGCCTTGGGGTGGGACCGGGTGGGGTTGCTCGAAATTGCTCGAAATGTGCTCGAAATTCCACGCTTGTGCTCGAAATGTGCTCGAAATTAGCTTTGGCTTGTAAGCTTCACAAGATGGCTGCTCGAAATACGCTCGAAATTGCTCGAAATGCGCTCGAAATTGCTCGAAATTTCTGGCTGCTTCCGTGCCTCCCTGCGGCCCCCGCCGGCACATCCCCTTTCAAAGCCTTGCATAGCTACGGGAACAACCGGCAAACCAGCAAAACTTGGAAAACAAAGAGATTCTTAGGAACTTTGGGGAAAAGGCCGCCCAAACCTTTGCAGGAAACCGGGCAGTCGGATGAAAATTTGTGATGCGCGCGCGCGCGCATCACAAATTTGGCCTGCCTTTGGCAAAGAAGACCGTCACAAAGTACCAAGGCCCAAAGCTCAACATCTTGTGTCACAAACAAAGAACAAAGACCACGTTGACCACATCAATCTTTCTGAGAGAAACCCAACACCCAGAATGGGCACCGTTTGGTGGTGGGCTCAACGGCTCAATAACTCAATAACTATGCCTCTAGGGTTGTGTGTTACTTGTGTTACCCGTGTGCTGAGCTTTTCTGGACGCCTCGCAACATATGTTGCTGCCGGCATGCGCTGCGGTGTTGTGTGACATGTTGTCAGTGCAGTGCAGTCAATGAGTCAGAGGCAGTGCAGTGCAGTCTCTTACATGTGCAGTTGTTAACATTGAGTCGCAAGCTTCGAAACTTCGAGTCCGTTTCCATTGTTGCAGAGGATCAGATGATCAGATGATCAGACATGTGTGTTTGTTTTGTGCGGTGTCCGCAAGAAGGACACTGGAAGTTCTGGTAGAGTTGCTGGAATTATTTTACAGAAATTAGTTTCTAGTGCAGCACAGTAGAGGTAGAGGGTCCACTGCATAAACAGCGTGGTTGCTAGTGGAAAGTTGCCACCAGGCAGCAGGAGGGTTCTTGCAATTTGCAATGGATCCTGTTTCAGACTTTGCCGACCAAGCCGACCTTCAGGCCTTTAGTGACTGTCCGGGAAGTTACGTGGGCCCAGAAACTCTTGCAGAGCTTTTTCACTGGCCTACCGTGGTCTTGAAGCGGTTGTTCCAACGAGGGGACGGCCATGATGGAGAGCGTTTTCACCGTGTCAGTACACTACTCCAAGGCCAACACAAAGTGTACTCAGATTACTCCGGCATGGCTGGGGAGTTCGAGTTTCTCTTTCAGCTGGAACATGCTTTGAAGGGCTGGAGCACTCCTTTGCTAGTGCACTTTCAGCACACCCGCTTTTGCGATGTTGGTAAGTTGCAACAGCAAGTGCTGAGGGGTGCTTGCAGTGTCCAGGGAACTGGCTGTATTATGTCTGATATCAACGACCGCCTGATTCCAGAAGCACGTCAGTTTTTGGATGCCCACATGCCAAAGACGGATGCAAGCTTGGAGGACCAGGGGCAGGCCTATGCAGACATGCTGCATTGGTTGATTCAGAACAGGGGCGTGGTGTTTGAGACAGGTTCCCACTGTGTGGTCCACAACAAAGTTTGTCCTTTGTTCCCGCCGTTGCAGGATTGTCAGCATGCTCGCAACATTCAGGCATCAGCAAGCAGCTTTCCTGAGGAAGACAGCGACAGTGATGTCGGTGAAGGCCCCGGCTCTGCATGCCAGGCTCAGGAACGTGAGAGCAAGCGCCTCAAGCTGGATGACGGTTTGAGAATCAATTTTGCAGGGACAACGTGCAAAGGCTGGTCCAAAGCCGGCAAACAGAAGTTCTTCGCAGACCCCTCGGAGCGCCCCCACAGCATTTGGGTCACAGAGCGGCTGCGACAGGCCGAGCTTGAGCAGGAAGATTTGTTTTTCTCAGAGTGTACGACTGCCTACCCGACTGAGGCCGGGCCTGATGCAATGTTTAGCAGCCTTGCCTCAGTGAGGTCGTGAATCTTGCCTGCGGCCAGGTCAAGCTGGCTGAGCCATTGGCCGAGACCCACGACGTGATCTCTGTGACGGTCAGCCCCATGGATATAGGCTGGCCTGTACGGCGTTCCAGAAAGCTGAGCTGTGGGCTCAACCGAGCCACTTGTGCGTGGCTGGGGCCCTCGCCAGAGTTGGTTCAGCCACATTTCATGAGTTTTTTCATGACTTCCGTGCGTGCAACCGCTGATACATTCCTAGTCGCCAAAGAGGAAGATGTGTATGAGGAGCAATGCCGACTTGCTGAGCTCCGCGGACGGTACTTAGTGGAATTTTCAAGCTCCTCGCGAAAGTTGGCCGCTCGCCACTCTGTGTATGCTCCAGGACAGCTTCTGCGTTGGCAAGAGTACGAGAACTACCGGCAGGACATGGACGGGGGTAATAGTTTCTTCGCTGACCTAGAACAGAATTTTAAGGTGGGAGCATCGACACCAGGTGCTTGGATTCCCTCGCTCCTCACACACGGCACTATCCACAGCTGGCAAGCAGACCGACTCGTCCTCCCAAGTGAGCTGTTCCTGGCTCATGGGTACAACTTTTTCCCTGCAGCTACTCAGTGTGCTGAAGCGTGCAGACTGAAGGAGACATTGTCCTCTCTGAGCAGCAAGGACCTCAAAGTGTTGCTCGGAAACGGCTGGCACATGCCAGTGCTTGCATCCTGGTTCATGTATGTGTGCTCACACACGGTGAAGCTGAACCGCAGTATGACTCTGCAACCGGAGCGCAGCCTGCTTCGGAAGGGCGGTTCACAGCTGCTGACTGGAAGCATGGAGGACCTTGATGAGCTGGATGAAGGGGACCAGCTTTGATCAGTGCGAGATATGTGATGCTGCTTCAGGCTTTTTGCAAGGAGCCTCAGAGGCTCTCACTCTCACGATCGTGGAGCGGTCGTGAGTCGTGGTCGTGAAGAGTTTTGATTTTGAAGAGGAGGTGGTGTGCACAGTTAGGATTTTCGACACCGCATGTTTCCTTGGACAGCCTGTCTCGATATGTGAAAGAGCAAAAGGGGCTGAATGAGCGGTTTCAACAAACCAGTGCACCTTTGTTTGCAAGTGTCGTTTTCCGATGCAATCACGAGGCATGAGACTTTTGAGGCCTGACCGTTGGGTTCCACACCTTGCCGCCTGTGCTAGCCTGCAAGCAGCAACTGTGTGATTTTCCTTTAGGATCAGGGGCGTGTGGCGTGTGCCACTGTGTGCGGTGGCTGAGCGCCGTGCAGCCACGCAGCATGATGGATTGCTTTGAGGACATGTTTACATCGCTCGGCAAGGCAGCCGACAAGCCAGACCAGGAGCCAGCAGGTGAAGCTCCTGCCAAGAGGCGCAAGCGTGGCGTCAAAGAGGAGGACGAGGCCAAGCTTTGTTTTGCAGCAAGATGCCCGCACCAGGCGCTGGTTGGAAAGCGTCGGTGCATCTCTTGCAACAAGAAGTATGACAACGCAATGTACCAGGCCAGGAAAGATGGGGAAACGGAAGCTGCGAACGAAGCTTTCAACGATCCTGAGTCTGCCGCCAGCTACTTTGAGCAGTGGGAGATTGACAACCCATCGGATAGACGGTACCAGCGCAAAAAGCTGATCAATTGGGCACAGTTCAAGCGAAAGTATTGTGTCAAGAAGGTCAAGCGTGAGAGGCACGGGACCAGACCGTACGAGTTCACCCAATGGTTGAAGTATGGTGGCAACATCATGGGATGGACAGAGAAGCAAACGAAAGCGGAGTGGGAGCGACATCGCGACTAGGCATTGTGGGAAAATTTCTACAGTTATAAGTTAGAAGTTAGAAGACCTGACAGGTCATGTGGTGAGAGCCTTGTTTTGAGCTTGAATTCCTGGCTTTAGCAAAGGAAGCAACGGTGTCGAGGAGGACCGCTTGGGCATCAATGGAACTCTTCGATTGTGGCTCCCGACAATCGAAGAGAAGCATCGTGATAATGAGCGCAGCATCGAGAATGAGTTGGAGCAGGGTGGGGCCATGGAGAAAAACATGACCGATGAGCACAAGGAGGTCCTGCTGAAGCATTGCCACGTGAGCACGGAGCTGGACAGCAGCAACAAGTTCTTCCAGACCCCGCACGAGTACGCAGACCCGCCGGTCACACCGCGGAAGCCGAGGAACAGTGCAGCGGAGGCTTCATCGTCGCCAGCTGGGGAGGAGCCGCAGCTCACACCAGAGAAGCCAGAGCCCACTATCAAAAACAAGAAGGACAAAGATGCTGATGAGGAGGTGCATCATGCATCATCGCTTGGTGGTTGAATCATCCATGTCATCTTTGTGTGCATTTGTGAAGTGAGAGAACATGAATTAGGATTCTCGGCCCTGCTTGAAATGTCACGTTGTGCAGGAGAAGAAGAGGAAGAGACGTGCGCAACGCCTCGGAAACGGGGCCAGCTTTGCTGCACATCGTGCGCAGACGGTGAGCAAGCAGAGGGAGAAGCTGGCGAGCTTGACGAAGGGCATGTCAACGGTTCTTGCAAAGCTCCAGGGGGCCACTCAGAGCTTGAAGAATGCGCAAGATGAAAGTACATCCCTGTATGGTCCAGCAGCTGAATGCGGGCTGACTTGTGTTGAGGCGTGGCAGAAGGAGGTGTCGTTGCCAGCCGCCATCAACGGACAGGGAGAGCCTGACGAGTTGAAGACGGCCGAGGAGAAGTTCCAATCTTCCTTGTCATCCGGTGATGTGAAGCTTGCTAAGTCGGGCGAGAATTTGCATTGCAATGCCACTTTGGCGTGGCATGTGATGCAGATGACCGAGATTGACGAGCTTGATGCCCTCGACCAGGCCGTCAAGTCCATGAAGGATCAGCATAACGAGGTGGAGGTTCTCATGAAGGGGCTCTCAAAGATTTGCGCCGACGTCGCATCTTTCATGTCTCAGAAAAAAAGGAAGGAGGTTCGCGATGCTGAGCAGAAGAAGAAAAAGGCTGAGCAGGAGGCCCTCACCCAAGTGAAGATGCAAGCGAAGCAGCACGCCGAGGCCATCAAGAGCGGCCAGGCGGGAGGCCATGCAATCTTCAGCATTCCCGAGGACAAGCTTAGCAAAATGAGCCAGCGGAAGGGTGACGACAACTTCGATGCCAAGGCCCTGAAGAACATCGATGAGCCTTGGATTTGCAAAGCCAGCTCAGCTGCCAGTACGTGGCGCAACAGTGCCACGGTGGCTGTGAAGTTGTCGGAGTTCGCAGGCAACTACAAGAAGGCGCAGTCGTTCAAGGACAACGGCCGCGCACAGGCAATCATGCTGCCTAAACAGGGCAAGGAGGAGACTGAGGGCTTCCTTGACAACTTCTTCTCGCCGCCGGGGGTGGATGTTTCATCCGTTCATGGTGCAACCGATGCCGTCAAGAACATATGGTACTGGGGGTACGATCCAAAACTGTGCGGCGCTTGGCTCGCCCCCAATGCCTGTGCCTTGCTGAAGGTGCTGGTGATGGGAGAGTTGACACTCCTGGCAGCGAACCTTGCCGACCTTGTCGAGGCCCTGCACTCCTCCAAGCCGATTGAAGAGATCACAAGTGACATGGTTACCAGCTTCTTCCTTTCCTTGACGGACAAGGCGCCCCTGTTCCCAAAGATCAAAATCTTTCAGACAACAATGCAGGCTGATGATGTTGTTTATGTGCCGACTGGATGGCTCATCGCGGAGCGAAGCTCATCCACTGTCAAAGTGTACGGAGTTAGGAAGTCTCTGTTTGTGCAGAGCACAAATGCAAGGGTCAGTTTTGCAGCAGCGGTAGATTTGTTGAGCAGATCCAATCGCGATTCTTCAAAGATGGCTGCCATCTTGAAGTGTTATCCAGAAGATGCCGTGAAGGATGAGCAGAAAGCTCCCGAGCCTCCGAAGCCGTCAGCGGCAGCGGAGGGTGTTGTCGCTGCCGTCGGCCCTACTGTGTGAGTGTGTGAGTAGTTGCAACTGTTTGGGAGCGGTGTTTAAGTTTGTAGCTTCAGCAATATGCAGAGACGAGGCAGCTGCAAGCATCTTCGATGTTCAATCTGCACGGGCTCCATTATGGGTCCTGCTTTGTAGGAGTAGGGTTTTCAGGACGTTTTTGCCACGCGTTGCTCACGACCACGACTTAAACTTTAAACTCTTCTTTTGCTGCATTGCGTGGCCGTGCGAGTCCTGTCGACACGAACTCAAACCCGTATGAAGCTGGATTTTCTGGGGCCAACCATAGAGCAAACCCCCACTACTGGGCCCCCACTCCCAATACTTTTTAGCCGTTCTGCTTCGACGAGTTTGGGCACTGTAGACTGTAGGGTCAGTCGCCGCCCGGCACCAGAGACTCCGAGCACTCCAGAGAAAGAAGCTGATCCGCCATGGTGTTCAGTTCACTCCTTTATGTTTTTTGTCGTTTACGGAGTTTACGGGTTTCTTTTAAGGTTTTAGGGGCTCAAGAAGTTCAAGAATTTAGGTGTGAAACATATTGTCTTGGGGAGATATGAATACGTATTGATTGAAGACCTGAGTCGTTCAAACTTTCGACTTGGTATACTTGTGATAGGTTGCAAGCCTCTTCTGAAAGCCATCTCTGATTCTTGAGCTTTGTTGAAATGTTTGAGTTTTCTATATATTCTAATGGCACTCTGTGAAAATATATTCATTAAAGACCTGAGTTGTTCAGATTTTCCAATTGATATGTTTTATGGTAAATGGTGCCAGGTTCGTTCGATATACTACGTACGGTAGTTTCTCTCTATGAAAACACATTGATTGAAGACTTGAGTTGTTCAAATAATCGAAGTGATATGCTGTATTGATATGAATAGCACCAGGCTCGTTTGAAGTCCTACGATAACCCACATATGAGTCTTGCTCTTTCCTGCGGTGTGTTATACAGCAATGACCTGTAAGTTAATGTATGAACAAGCGGAAAACAGAACGTCAGAGTGTACGCCGGTGATGCTTGATACAGTTCCAGGGCACAGAACCCTGCAGACAACTTGGCAGGTCTGTAGGGTTTTTGGTGTTTTAGGATGGCAAGGGGTTTTTGGGCTTAGGGTTTTGATGCTTGTGGGGTTCCAGCGATTGGTTTAAGGATCAGGGCAGGGTGCAGGACTTGATTTCTCGCTCGCAAACCCCTCTCGAGTATGTTCGAAAAGGGCTGGATGAATGTCTCAAGCACGATGCAAAACCCTAAACCCTAAACCTTTGGGGCAGTGAAGCGCAGGCGACGAAAAAGGCCCTGAAAAAAAAACACAGAACTTTGGGTAGATGATGGTAGATGTAGGGTTGTGAGGGTCTTGGAATGTGACAAACTGAGATAACAATGACAATAAAATACATAATAGTAATGATAATAACATAGATAATAAGATAGACAATAACATAGATAATAAAATAGATAATAAGAATGACAATAAAAAATTAAATAGTTAGTCCCAGAGCAGCACGAGGACTACGACTGCGTGCTGAACTGGGGCAACTGGGCCTCTTGACTGATTCTGTCGGCTTCGGTGTAGAACTTGTATTCTTCTCTAATAATTATATATATATATACATACAACTATATATATATATACAACTATATATATATGTAATTATATAACTATATATATATATAATTATATATATATATAATTATATATATATATATTTATATGTATGTATGTGTATATATCTGGCTACCTGAGTAAGAAAAAGCTTGCTAAGTCCCTTGATCCTGTCAGCCACCTTAGCAGCTTCATGCTGCGTGCCGACCAAAACCCTACACCCCCAGACCCCACACCCTAAACCCTAGACCCTAAACTGAGAAACCACAACGGGACAAGTGGC